ATTATGTATATCGTCTAAAGTTATCGACATGTACAGTAGTTTATTTAAAATAGATCACAAGTTGTCTTCGAAATTTGAATTCGTCTTTTAATTCTATCGCCATCCTCCAGTCAAAACCAAATTATTTTCTTAGTTTTTTTTTTTTCTTTTTTCTTTTAACTAGTAACGTATGTAAGTTGGTTAACAGATACATCAAATAAGAATTAGTTAAGAAGCCGATCTACATGCATAAACAAAACTAATTTATTTCTTGTCAACGATAAATTTATTTGGTCACAAAACCGAGTTTTACTGCCAAGGGTGTATGTTTGATTGGTTTGCAGTTAGTCGTCCCCCAAAGTCCTTCCTCAATTATAATCCAAGTCAACGAAACTTCCCTAGTTCACAAAGTCTTTCCATAGGCTACTTTAATAAATCTCAAGTGTCAGATTAAAAATTGCAACTGCGCGTACCATATTAACACAAGATCATTGGACTTGTTCATACCTTCAATTATCATTGGACTTGTTCATACCTTCATTTATCATTGAATACTGACCTCTCGAACGCGGTGAGACCATAATCAAGTCATGTGGTATGTCATTGCATTAACCACTTCGATGTCATGGTTTGTGGAAAGTTAATATTCTTATAATTGTTTATTTTTTTAATCGATTATGACTTGAGTAGTATACAGATTAAAAAGAAAATTATAAAGAACAATATTATTAATAATAAAAATATATTATCTAAATAGAGGGACACTACAGTGAAATTTTCACTATGCATCTTAACACATTTTAAACAAATCCGTCATTCAATTCATCATGTGAAAGGTCATTCCAATGATCATAACTCTCGTAAGGCATAGTCATTATGAGACGGTTTTAGGTGAAAGTACTATTATTTCCTAATAGGCTAAAACTGTGAATAAAACAAGATTTTGGTAATTAGCCATTGCAAACCTTTATAAAACAAAGCGAAAATTGTGCATTTTGCAAAGACACTACCGTAGGTTTTGTGTTCATCCTCGGCTGCTAGCTAAATTTCTGAACCAAAAAAGGACAAAGAGAAAGGGGTAAGCAATTTATATTGCTTAGTGAATGTGGATCATCCCAGCACTCAGTATAAGCCAAATAGATTTATATCTGTTTAATGGGTGATATACAATACGATAATTTAGAGCACACAAGTTTTTGTCTTTTCCCCTAACTTCACAAATTAAAATTTCAAACCTAAAACCACACAAAATTTTATAAGTGAAGCCAACATTAGGATATGTTATTTAATACACTTTTTGTTAAAAATTAATGTGTCCATATGTATATATCACCAGTATGATAGTAAAAAATAATGTGTTCATGTAAAATTTTACTTATAAGATTGGGAGCATCATCAAGCCGTTTAACAAAAAAAAAAGAGATTGGGAGCATCATTAGTCTCTCGTAGAACCATATACAACGTGAAGATTTTAAAAAATTATAAACTTTTAATAAGAATTTCAAACAACAAAATACCAAAAGAACAAAAAAGTACAATTAATTTGTTAACAAAACAGAGCAGTGATGCATTTTATAAATACAATTAAGACAACTAGAAAGGTCCTATATGCCTTTGCTTGTGCGCATTAGTTCGTGGGACGAATTGTAACCCCTTTGACGACGAGTCCTTTTTTCTTATATTCGGTCTCATACATGGTGAAAGTAATAATTGCGGGAGTGTTTTTCGGCGGAACCACAAAAACTCCGGCCAAAAT